ATGAATTTTAAAAAATGTTTGAACTTTTAAAGATTTTGTTTTGTTTTGTTTTGTTTAGCTCTGAACATCACCAAAATAGAGAATTTCAGAACTCTGAGAGTTAAGAACAAAGATGTTATTTCAAGTGTCAGTTAATAAACACAAACCAACCAAACAAAAGACACCAACACTGCTTCTGTCATCTGCTTGGTCATCATGATCCTGAGCCTGATTGGTATCTCCCAAAATTTCTTGTCTATTAGAATAATAAAGATCCAAAGTTTTGAGAAGTTCACAGTAATATAGTAGTAAGGTTATTTTTATATTTTCCTAAGGCATTTTAAAATGTGGCTGTGTTGAAGGAGTGTGTAGGGGTGAGTGGGGAAAAAAAGGAACGACTACAAGAAGCAATTGAAGTCTATGAAATTTATGACTTGCAATTAGCAGTAGGTAATAGGCAAATCATAGACTCATGAAGTCTTAGATTTGGGACATAACAATCTCTTCCTTTCAAGATGTGGTAATGTGCTCTGGTCTATGAAGTGAGTTGCTTGTGATTATCAGCTGTCTTAGAAAGAGGTTAAGGAAGATGATGATGGCCAGGGAGGGAAATTAGAATCCTATATTTATTTTTAAGTGTTCAGGAAAAGATACATGTTTACAATAGGGTCTTGTTTTCTTCTCTTAGTTAATATTTACCCAAATTTATATTTAAGGCCAATAACAAAATGTCTAAAGAGCACACTCTAGTCCTACCTTTAGGGAAGTCTTAGAAACAAGCTGCAGATTGAAGTAAATCACAAGACTCTGGGACAGAGTTCAGAGTCTAATTCAACATGAACTCTGAGATCAATATGTTCCTTTCTCTAACCCATGATGTCAAGTCTTTCCTTGAATTATATCACTAATGAAAGAAATGAAGTGAAGAGGATATGGGGAAGTAGCAAAGCTCAGAGGAATCTCTGTTTTTGGATTATAGCTTCAGCTAAGGGAAATCTTGAGAAAGTGGGAAGGGAAACTGAACCGTACAGGCCTTATCAAGAGGCCTTCAAGGAGCATGGTGGCCTAACGATAACATTCAAGTTAGAGAAGTTCTTTTTACCATTTCATGCTCGTCTGTTTTCAGGTAATAAAAAGAAGAACTCAACTAGTTTAAGGAAAAGGGGGATTCAAACAAAGCCGCAGGAAGAGGCTGAATATTCTCCAGACCTACCTGGCCTTTTGCTCCTTTCAAATGTCAGCTTCCTTATTTCTCACTGCAGCCTGGTCACCCCTACATAGAAGAAAACATAGGCCAGCTCTGGACATTTATATCTCAAAAGCTACCTGGGGATGACTGACTACAAATTTTTCCTTTCCCATGCACAAAAATACTAGGGGAGAGACTTCATGGGATTGACCACCTCTCATCCAGTCACAAATGACCAAGACATTTTGACTGGTCTAACTTGATATTTTGAATGGTCCAACTTAGAACAAGGCAATCTTTGTTTCACCAAAGATGCACATAGACGTCCAAGTTAAAAATGTAGAACTTTGAGGGAAGGGCAGTTCCTAAAAGAGGTAATGAGTAGATAATTCCAGGTTTTTACCTGTGCTAAGTAACATATTGTGTTACTCGGGTTTATTTTTTTCCAGGTTGCAAATAACAGCAACATATTTTAGTTAACTTGACTGATGGAGATTTATTATAAAGAGATTTATTATTATACATGGGAAAGTGAAGAAATACAGAGATCCATCTCAGAAATCTTCCAGCAATCCAGTTTAGCATGTCCTTTCAACATCACATAGCAAATGTTTCCCTCTGGTGTTCCTTTCTGATGATGGTTCAGTTGAGATGGGAAGCAAATGAAAGCAGACAAAGAATTAATTCTTGACTCTGGTTCATGGCTTCTACTTTCTCACTCTTTTGGTCTGCCCACACAGGGTACCTACCGCCTTCCTGTCTAAATCTCTGGGGTCTCATATTCAAATTATTTGAGCTAGACTCTGATTGGGTAGACCTGCCACTATCAAATATAGGATGCCTTTGTTGAGTAGGTCATGCCAATTCATTTTATAGGCTGGTGGTCAGATACTTAGCTTTGACCAGGTATCAGTCATTGTTTCAATCAGTTAGAACCAGGAAAATGGTGTCAAGGCAGAACTAATTGAGAGTTAGAAGCAAAACACAGATGTGTCAGGTAATGTAATTGGTAGATACCTTGTGTGGGCTGTCTAGCATCCAAAAAATATAGATTTTTTTAAACCAATGATATTAATTGAGATTTCTACTGTGCCAAGAATTATTTTAGATAAATGGCTGAAAGCAAGGTATATAGGAGAGTTCCTGCCACAATAAAAGCAATAAAATTGATGGGGGAATAAAAACTATCACATTAGACACAAGTAGGAAAAAATCCAAACATATCCAGAGTATTTGATTTTTCCCTCAATTTAAGTTAAAATACTCAATCTATTTCTTCACTTCTTGCAAAATAATTGCTATTAGAAACAAGACTTCTTTTCTTTAATACATAAATTTAAACTTTTCCAAAAGCAATACTTAAAAAAAAATCACTTAAGTTGTTTTTCTGGTGAGGGAATGGAAATTTTAAAAAGAAGTAGCTTTCATGGAAGGGAGAATCATCATAAGGAACAAAGGAGATTTAAGGAAAGGGGAGTGAAAAGAGATTGAATGAAAGAAAACAAGGTAGGGAGGGTGATTTAAAAAAAAAACAAAACAAAACAGGCAGCAAAGGTAACTCCAAAGAGCAGTGTGCGCACTCTGGTCAAGTCACCATCATCTGCTCTAGGCTTTTTCTCCTGGCCCTGCGCTGCTTCTGGGTAAAGCAGCATGCTGTACGTGCTCTGTGCCTGTTACTTGCTGTGGGCCTCAGAAAGGGAAGGCTTCAGACCTCTGGGATGAAGCTGCTGTCTCTCTCTGTTCTCAGCTCCATGGAAATTCTTAAGGGACAAGGCTATAGATAAAAGATGTGGAGGAGGAATAGGAAGGTCTCAAATGATGAGTGAGGAGGCAGGACGACTTAATTTTAAGCTCCCCTGATACTTTTTATTTATGTATTTGCTGCTTCTAGAGAAACTGAAAAAGGAAAATAATTCATACATAGAATGCCTGTGCAAATAGCAAACCAATAACTTCCTACCTTCAGGAGGTTCTGGCCTCTGTCCAGGGTACAGTTTCAGAACTGCAAAAAACAAGGGATGTGTACACTGGTATAATCCAATTCCAGATGTTTTGGACCGAGAAGAGTCCAGAAACTCCCATAGCTAGCAATGACCTGGGGATTGAGGACCGTGAATGGAACAGGCCTAAAGCTGGGTCCATTGTACAATAAAACTAATCATTTGAGGTTGGGTATGTCCTGACATTGCCTTCTTATTTCAGACTAAATAGCTAAGGCCTGGAACGACTTCTAGTCCTTTAGAACCAAATAAGTAGCTTTGGATTATAATCTGCTTAATGAGAACCCCGAACTAAGTTGTCCTAGAGCCCAAGGAAAAGGTGAAAAGACCCATAAAGTCTTAAAAAAATCTAAGGATGCAGCTCTACAAATGTGGAATTTTAGTTTGACTCAGTGTCGGTGGTCAGTCTGGGAAGGTGGGATTGGTGGAAGAGACAGGATAGTTAGGGAAAGACGTGCACTTAGATTCCCCAGGACTACTACCAATTACTGAACTAGCTTTTAAACTAGTTTTTTGAAGCGTGAAGTGTGAGGAGGTAGGAAAGGGGGTAGGCTTTGTGACTGAAGCAACGTTTTCTTTTCTTCTATTTCCAGGGCAAGACCAATCTGTGGATGAGCACTGTGGGGCTATGGAGAAAATGGTGACTTTGTTTTGTTTAAAAAAAACAAAAAACTTTTCTGTAAGGCTCTGATGGTCTGAGCACTCTCTGGGCCAGCTGTCCTGGGCCACTCTTCAGCCTGCGGCCTCGGGTGAGCCCTTTAAATCCAGCTTCCCCCGCCCCCACCACTACGCTCCCGCTCCCTGACAGGTGTTTTCCCAACTCCCGAGGCCCACGATTTTGGGGAGTGGCTGAGCCAATAAGATTTCCCTGTGGGGGAGAAGGCGTGGCTAGTTGGGAGAGAGCGGGGGCGGGGTTTGCGCGACTGAGCAGAGCCAGCCTGGTTGCGTGGAGGCTTGTTTTATTCACCAGCCACCACCCCCCCGCCCCTCTCCCGCCACCTTTTTATTTTTTCTCCCGGAGTCTTATTAATTTCTCTGTGGGGCTGCAGCTGGAGACCGCGGAGCGTTGGAAATGACGCTCAGAGCTTTAATTACCGCAGCCGCCGGACAAGTGTGAGGAAAGCTGACAGGAAAAAAGGAGGACAGGACCGGGGGTGAAGCAAGAAGCTTCGCCCCCACCTCTCCCTTTCCTCCCAAATTGGACTGGAGGTGCAAGGAAACTGAGAAGGGAGCCGAACAGAGTCCGGCTGTGGGGAGAGGCCGGAAACCTACCGCCTCTTTGCAGTCAACTTTTTTTGGAAATCTTTTGCCGAATCCTTCCTTTTTATTGTTGACCAACCAGTGAGAGAGAGCGAGAAAGTGAGGAGGGAGCGAGAAAGCCAAGGCTCACACGGGGAACTAGCTGCCCGGTCCGGTCAGGCGCACCACGGGCACACACTCGAGCACACTCCCACCCGCGCGCCCCCTCACGCGCCCCCTCTCCCCCTCCTCGGGGCCGGGGCCCTGGACCCGCGGGCGCGGACTCGGCCGCCCGCGCTCGGAGCCGGTGCACCGCGCGCGCCAGTCCCCCTCGCGCTCCCACGCGCGCTGGGCTGAGGGATCTCCTCCGCGTGCCCGAAAGGGGATATGCCATTTGGACATGTAATTGTCAGCACGGGATCTGAGACTTCCAAAAAATGAAGCTGGCGACAGGACTGTGGGTCTGGGTGAGCCTTCTCGTGGCGGCGGGGACCGTCCAGCCCAGCGCTTCTCAGTCAGGTGGGTCGCGCGCGGTGCTTTCTCGCGCTCCGGTGCTTGAACCTGCTGCCGGCGGCTGGGCTGCGTCGGGAGCCTCCCTCGCCCCCTTAGTGCGGCCGGAGACCCGCTCGTCCCCGGGCGTGGAGGGACCACTCCACCCGCGGGTTTTCTCTGGGTTTTCGTTTGCCCTTTTTTATCCAACGTACCCTATGCGTGGGCTTGTGTTTTGTATTTTATTTATCGTGAAAAAAATCACTCTGCGCCCCTTTCCTCTGTCTCTTTTCTCTCCCTCCTTCACCCTCTTTATCGCGCGTTTTCTGAGAGCCTAAGCGGGATCCCTTCTGGGGGCGTCTGTTGTGCTGTGGTGGGACGCCCAAAGCCGGAGTCAGAGGAGACGCTCCTCGCCCGGCCTGAGTCCCCGAGGGAAGTCTCGAGAAACGCTCCCCGCCCGGGGCCGCGGAAGGACAGGGTCTCCGGGGCGGTGCCAGCGGGGCCTCGGGTGAGCGGGAGGGCTGTGGAGAGCGGAGCTCCGAGAGCGGGCTTGCACCTGTGTGCTGACGGCCGCCGCTGCGCCCCCGGTCGCTCGCCCGATCCTTCGGGGTCAGACCGGACTCGAGCCCAGCCTGGGAGCCGGAGCGCGGCGGGAGGACGCGCCTCGGCCCGGGGGCCCAGAACGCTAGGCCTCCTTGGCCAGTGTCCCCAACCCTCGCCCCATTGACTTGAGGGGAGCTCGCTGGCCTGCCTGAGCTCTTACAAAAATCGTAAATATGACTTGACATACTTGAGCCGGGAGCCCGGCCTTCCCGTCGGTTTCTGTGTTTGGCTCCAGGAAGAGTTCTTCCTGTAGTTCAACTTGCTATTGGCCGGAGTCCCTCCAACTTCTCTGTTTACTGCCCGGCGGCTGCCGAGCCGACCGGTCACGCGAATTGATTGAACCCGAGGCGGGCACGGCTGCCGTGGGTGCGCGGCCACCGTTTGCAGGAGCGCTCGCGTCCCGGGTCCCCGGCCCGGCAAAGGGCTAACTGACCCCCGAGAGGCAGCGCGGCGGGGCTGGCGCGCCGCGGCCGACAGGGCCAATGACAGCACCTGCAGTGCGAGGGAGCGCAAAGTTTCTGATACTTGAGTTTCCTGGGAATGAAAGTGGGACAAGAAAGCTGAGGAAAACCGGCGACTGACGTGGCCAAGGGGGGCCTTTTGGAGAGCCAGGGAGATTTCCGGAGCCATCCGGGGCTGGTCGCGGGAGCGTGGGAGGCGGCTGAGAAGATAAAACCCCCGGGAGTGGCGATAGGGAGAGCTTTAGGCCCCCGGAGGGTGTCCTTCTGACCTCACCAAGAAAACAGCGCGCTGTAGTTTTCCCGCTCCGCCCCGCCGCCGCCGCCGCCGCCGCCGCCGCCGCCTCCCCCTCCTCGCCTAGTAAATAACAAGTTACAATCCTAGAGCCTTTCAAAATGACCTTCGAATGGCACAATGTGCGCCGTTTGTACTGGCCGTTTGCACCCTCCCAGTTACTCTGAAATTCTTCATGCATACCAGGTCCCGAGCTCCAGCCACCTCCGGAATTACACCAACACGGACTTGAGATTCCAAGCGGCCTCTTAGATACATCCTTTTTTTTATCTCCCTCCGCACTCCGAGTCCCTTCATATTTCCCTTCAATGGGTTGATTATGCACATTGACCCATTCAAAAAGCAGTTGCGACTGACACGCAGGCTTAGCCGAGAGGAATTTCTACGAGGCGACCTACTGGGGGCTGTCTGGTGCAGCCTCAACCGCTGGGGGACCCGGCTCCGAGTCCGCAGCAATTTGGTATTAACTGTGCGGTTCGGGGTTGAGCTATGCCGAAAAGCCCTTTTCAGAATTTCTGCAAGGAATGTAATCCAAATTAGTTCTGCAGCTGTCCTCTTCCTCGTCTCAGGCGACACCGGCTCGCGTCCTCGCTGGTCTCTTCTCGCTTCCCCCCCGTGAATTGTCAGACCCACAAGTGAGCCCATTTAGAGCGCGAGGATTAGCGTGCCATTGTTCCGTGTGTGACTCTGTACTTGAAATTCTGGGGGCACAAAGGCGAGCCTCACTTGTTCAAAACACAAAGTGATCTAGATGAAAGGGCCGCACAAAGAAAAGCTCTCGGGTGCATCCCTGGTATAATTGCAACACGCAGGCTAAGGTGATCCACTGGAAACTGTAAATGCCCCCGGGACTTCTTTTTTCATTTCCTCCACCCCCACCCTGCCGCACCTGGCAGGGAAAGTTCAGTTGGTTTTAATGTAATGGTTTTATAAAACCAAGTTACAGTCTGGGGTATGAGTGAGGCTCTGTGTGGTTGTGGTTGTGGTTGTGGTTGTGGTTGTGTATGTGTGGCTGTAGGTTCCCAAGTAAATACATATTGCGTGTCTCCCCTCTCGCGGTTAGCAGTCAGTAGCAGTTTGGAGGAGTTTGTTTTGGTCCAAATGAGAAATTAAGTGCGGATAAGTAAACTAAGCTGCCAGAGGGCGACAAGATGTTGAGTGAATTGCTTTTAGATGAAACAAATTAAGGAAACGAGGGAAGACAATCTGCTTCTCGCATTATTAGACACGCTTGGAGTTCAGGGGAAAGTGGCATATTTTTGAAATGCTAATTTCTTAAGAAGCAGAAGGAATGCACCTTATTTACTGCTCTCTGTGAACAGAATAAAAATATGGGGGTGGGGGCAGGATTCTGTTGTATGGGTATAACATCTATTAAAATAATGTAACTGAAGAGGACCTGCTTTTATTTTTCTCTTCTTTTTCTTGGGGATAAAAAGCTTTACAGAAGATGATTTTCAAAGTAATTCTGAAGGACTTTGTCTCATTTCCAGTGATTCATTTTATCTAGAAATATTTTAGCCAAAGGCCCTTTATATGGCTGTTATAAAGCCTTTACCACCGGAAAGAAGAATTCCAAAATTTCTGTCTTCCTGGTATGATGGGAAAATGGTATTACCTTTGTATTGAAAGTGATACTGTAGTATTGAAGTGATGCTCTTACATACCTTCATAGATAAGTGATGAACAAGTTCAGTTCCCATTTTTTATTTGCAAGTAACTTAGTCTTGCTTTTCATTCTGTAAAAGAACATAGTTTTCCCCTACATATTTAAGATACATCTTCAAGCATATAATTTTTTCTTTTTACATTTGAGAAGAAAAAGGTTAATAAAGTTAAATGCTGAAGAGGTGTTAAATATAATTTCAAAAATATCAGATCTCTTCCTGTACGTGTTTATTGTAAGCATTCATGGGTATGGTTTCCCTTTTTTCTTTCAATTTTGAAATTCTTATTTATGTAAAAGAAGCCTTTTTAGAAGAAATAATTTTTTCTTCAGAATGCTTCCAAATTTATATCTATTACTATAACTGCAAATCACTTGAAAATACTATAATGTGGACTGTTAGGATAAAATTGAATGACTCTGATAGTGTTCCATGTTTCCTTGTCTTTTGATTTTTTTTCTCTTAAACCGAACTGCTTTTATTTTTTTAAATCATGCATACAAAGAAAGTCAATTTTTTTTGAAAATTAAGGTGCTTACTGCTTTATATATTTTAATTTAGTCATTGGAATTTATATATTTAATTTAGTCTTAATCAAGAAATTATGTTAGGATATTTGCCAGGGCATGCGCTTCATGGAAGATTTGTTTATTTTTTCTTATCTGAACACAGTAAGTTTGCATTGGCTGATTTTTGGAGCTTGCATTCATTTGAAGAAAAATCGTATGTCTCCTTAAAGTGGAATCAAATATTTAGTATTCATGAGCCTTCATCCCTTTGGTTCTTAAATAGGAGTACTATTCATCATCTGTCTTATGCATTCACCCTTTCCATTACTATAGATTCTTTTTAAGAAAATCTTACTTATTGAGTTACGCATATGAATATATATTTTCCCCATCACCATTAAGGGTGTTCTTTTTGTGTGTGTCTTTCCCAGCAACCTGCCAATCAGCTACTGCAGGAGTCCTCTTGAGCCAGTTTTCATTCTTTCTTTCTGATAAATCTGATATGGCTGGTTGGCCGGACAATCGCAAGCCATTCCATTGCTCAGATTTATTTCTGAAAGAAAATAAAAAGGCATCGATCCAAGATCACTAGCACATCTCAAAAACCCTGACTCCAAGGCCGTCTTTTTACAGAGTTGTCCCTTTTCCTCTTTCTCCCTCTTTTCCCCTCTTGACCAGGGAGAGAAGGGTAGACTACTGCCATTTAACAAATACTAGGGGTGCGAGGAACTGTGCTCTATCTAAATATTCTCTGAAGCTTGTGATTAGAGCCACCTTGAGATTAATGACTATGTAAGCTACCCATTTTAGACAGTAAATTGAATTAGGGTGCTTTAAACATTGCAATGTTTTAAAGTGGTGGTGTTTTATATTATGTCAATCCAGTTATTAAGAAAATTTAGCAGATGTTAAAAAATATGAACAAGTTTTTGCTTTATTTTAGTGTCCTGCTGCTGCTGGATATCTGTGTGTAAATTGTAAGTGCCTATAACATAAATGAAGCAAATGATCAAAAAAGATGTTCTGTTACCTGCAAACTTGTTGGCACTTGCTGTTTGATTTCAACCTTTTGAGAGATACTGCTTTATAGAGGGGGATGTTAATACTTACCTTGAAATCGGCGTATGCATGTTCAAGACTACAGCTGTTCTACAAAAATTGTCAAGCCTATTCCACTGTTATCTTTGACAGTGATCTACTGAGTGTGGATGCAGGGCAGAACTGAATCAAATTATGAACTTCTCTCCAGGTTATGGCATTTTAGAACTGTTCTACTATGTTACATTTGACCATATGGAACCAAATTGCATCTTTATCTAATACTCATTTTCTGAATTGTTATAAATGTTAGACAGTTGAAGTAAAACCTTTTCATGCTTTTTAATCCTGCTACTGACTGAAATGTACAGTTTATAATGACAAATACTCCTTCAATTTTCTTTTTTTAATAAAAAGATTTTATATCAGTGTTTCCTGAAACTGTAGCTTTTCTACATAA